AAAAGTACTTAGATCTTAATATATATAAATATAAATAAAAATATGATCTAAGTACTTTTATTAACTTTATTAAACTTTTTAGTAACTTTTATTTATTTTCTAAACGTTTGTGCAGGCATTAGGGGGACTGCCTGATTGCTTAGGCAGGCCCGCTGTAGGCACTGCACAAGCCGGCTATTCCGGCTATGTGATCCCAAGGCCCCCGGTTCTCGCGGAAAATTGGAATCTAGCAATCTGACGGCTGTAAGTATCATCGTTCGCCCCGCGAACGGACATCCAGAGACCGCCAGCAGGTGTCTGACAATTGTAGTAACCTAGCCTTTTGGGCATAATGCACTTCGTTTGGCACAATATTTTCATGCGCACATATCGCTTGTTACATTATCTAAATCTATCGGAATACATCATCATTCTCACGAACTAAAGAACAAATTTTTTAGCTGCACAAACACTTGTACCTCAATTAGACTCTGCAAACTAACATACGCTTAAAACATACGTACCTTCGCGTTCAAACTAAAGTTCACGAATCCTTCATAGTCAACTGTGCTACCTTACTAACGCTAGTACTTTAGGTACTATTTAGCACGAACTATTGGAGTCATGAACTGGATAAACTACACGAACCACTTAATTGTTATATTTGTCAATGGATTTAACAATCGGTTATGTAGATGCTCTCGAATAGAATTTTAACAAATAATTTGCATAATATATGGCTACTATGGTGGTATGGATTTATAGGGTATTAAGTATGAATTAATTCCTGCTTTATTATACGTACATATACGGTTTACAATTAAGGTAGTAATGGTTTAGACATATTGGGTCATGATTATACGGTTTGAAGACTTAGTGATTCTTTGTATAAAATTCATGTGTTATTGCTTCTGGTGGTCGCCGCATTGCAGTATTCTGTTACTCATTAGACCTGTTCTCAATTCAATACCGGTTTGTTGGGGTCATGTTGCATGTTTAATGTCGAACTCTACTGGTCAATTTTGATATTGCAGGGGCTATATTTGCAGTTTTGTCTGATATTTTAAGTGATAATTAATTCATGTCAAACAAGCGCTTGCTTTTTAATTATTTTCATGCTTTATCGGTAAATCCTTACGTTACGCTTGTTTCTCTTTGTAGGTGACTCAATTGTATTATTCAGGTTAATTGCCAGTTCTCATTGTTCAATCCATAGGTGAGGTTATCTACCTACTAACTTAAGTTACATGAAGGCATTGGTCTTTTGGTCATGACTCTAAGTTTTGCTCTTTAGAACAATTAGGTGGGCTATACATGTATATATTATATTCATATCATAGCAGTTGAATGCTGAATTGCATGCATTATATGTTTCAGATCTACAAAGCATTCAGCAATTGAGCTCCATCACTGCTACCATTCACTATTCACTGTGCATTTGGTTAGTGGATACAGTTACATAAGGCCCTTATTAGTTTTTCTAGTCCTTAATGCTTCTTTTCTACACATAATCTTACGGTGTGTTTAAAAATCATTGTTTCGGTTCATACTGAGTGTTATATGACGGCCTCTAGTGGTCAGTATTGATATTGCACAAGTCTATGTTTTAAGTTAGTCTCATGTTTTGTTGGAGATAGTTTTTAGGTAAAGCAAACGTTTTGACTGTTCATCGTTTTCAGTTGATATTGACAATACGCTGGTTTGCCTAAATTAACACTATTTGGTTTCACTAAACTAAGCCTCTACGCTCACCCGGTGCATTCCTATACACATGTCACCTATATACAACATCAACCCCGTATAACCTACACCTACTATTCCTTTTCTAATGTGGGAATACATTTCTTGTATGTGTTTCTATATTCAAGGGAGACCAGGTGTTTGGCACTTAAAGGACCACCATGGGCAACCAGACCATTTCAGCTCAATAAACTGGTGTGGGTGCCAGGTCCCCCTAGTTTTAACTGTGCAGCTGAAAACATAGCAGTTTCAGAGAAACTGCTATGTTTACACTGCAGGGTTAATCCAGCCTCTAGTGGCTGACAACCACTAGAGGTCGCCTCAGCGAATTACACAGAGTAAATTGCACTTATTTGAGGCTGGACGTCCTCGCGGAGTCCAGCATCAAAAAAGATTCCCATAGAAAAGCATTGAGTAATGCATGCGCATTTGGCTCCACTCGGGAGCTGACATCGATGGAGGAGGAGAGGTCACAAGTGCTGAGGGAGCCTGGTGCTGGATTAAGGTAAGCAAATAAATGGTTAAATAACCATTTATTTGCCGCGGAAGGGGGCCCTAGTCACCTAAACGGTGACTAGGGCTCTATATTTTTTTATTTTTTTTATTTAATCTTTTTTATTGAGTTTTATAACAATATACATATACAATACACAACCGAGAAAGGTACTACAATAGAACATCCTTTCTCGGGTAAAACACACAAAGGGATGGCAAATTACATCATATATATGTAAAAGATAAACCTTCTAATGCCTAAAAATTCGGCATATAATATCGAAATGTAGGAGAATCATACACCAACAAAAACCAACTGGTCCAAGATAGTATAATAATATAACAAGTCAAGAATCCCATAACAATTTGAACTGTATCAAATATATGGTCAAAGAGCCCATGGAATAATATCCTATACTGACTTTCATCCAAATCTAGGCAAGTCATAATACGTTCTTCCATTCACCTAACCTCATTAAAACCCTCTGATCTTGTCAATAAAATTGGAATATAACGTCAGAATACTATCGTTAAAATAATCATTCATGAGGATCAACCCTTTTTCCATCTCAAGTTGGTATAGTAATTGAGTTTTAACTTGATCTCTAGTTGGAATCTCAGTACTTTTCCAAACTCTGGCAATTAGTATTTTAGTTGCCGTTAGGCAATGTACAATCACAATATCAAGATTACCATTTGTTTCTGAACCCATAAGGTGAAGTAGGGCAATTTATGCTCCAGGCATATACCTCCAATCCTATAAATAAGATTAAATTAAATATTCCAAAGGGGCTTAATTCTGGGGCAAGCCCACCAGATATGGAGCATAGACCCATCTGGATGAAAACACCGCCAGCAATTTGGAGGGTTTATATTGGATATTTTTGCAAGTCTAGTCGGTACCATATACCATCTATACAAGATTGTGGTGAAGGTCTCTAAAATGTTCAGACAGTGAATACTTTTTTTAGTCATCATAAAAGATTTACACCAATTGTTATATGGAATAGATATTACTAAATCATCTTCCATTTAGTTAGAGCTTTGGGTATATCTGGGGCTCCCTTTAGTTTTATCACTTCCATCACAAGAGAGAACACCTTTTTTTACCGCAAAACCAGAGAAAATTTTCCTAAATAATTTACCCAAGCGACCATCTAACGTTAGCATATGGTCTTTAAGATAGCTCTTAATACGGAGGTAATTAAATATTTCTCTAGAAGGTAAATCCAACAATTTCTTAAGAGCTTCAAAGCTTTTCAGTTGCTGTTCACTATAAAGATCTTTTATCCTATAGTTGAAATTTTTATGCCAGTTAATCTCTAACATATACTGTTCTAAAGACCTTAAACTAAGGTTCTCATAGAGTTTTTTTATTAATATTCAACTTTTTCTTATATAATTTACCATTTTTTTAATGTTTGTGATAGAGACAGGAAAGACTGGAATGTAATCTTGCCCATTTCCTTATTCTGACTTGCCTCTGTCCATAGGAGAAGCTCAAGATTATCTAGTCCAATTCTAGCTGACTCAATTTTGTACCAAGTTTGGTTTTTAGAATCACTTAATTGTAAATTGCTAGCATGGACCAGAATATTGGCCTGATACTTGAGTAATTAAGGGATAGCCCAGTCCCCCCTGTTGGGCCTTCCTTGATAGAGTATATGTATTGATTCTTGGTCTCGTCCCTCTCCAAATATATTTAGCCACTGGCAAGAAATCGAGAGAGGGCGCATGCCAAATAGATAAGCCCACTTAGGAATTATATAGGCTTTAATAGTGTTAATCCTTCCCCACCAGGAATTTTCATGAACTCTCCATTCTTTTAGTAAGGCATTGGTCTCTTTTAACAATTTCAAAAAAATAATTTCCATAGTCCGCCTTGTGTCTGCAGAAATAATCACCCCCAAATACGTAAACTCTTTCTCCGTCCATTTAAAATCATAATATTTCTTTAAGGAAATTAGTTTACCTTTTTGTATATTAATGGACATAGCTGTTGTTTTATTCATATTCAGGCTGTAATTAGAGACATTACTATAATTATCAAATTCTTGCATTAAGTGTGGAAGAGAAACATGTGGGTCAGTAATAGAAATTAAAATATCGTCTGCATACAGACATATTTTCCATTCATCATCCTGAGCTCCCAATACTTTGATCATCACATTTTGTCTGATGTTATTGGCCAGAGGTTCTATTGATAAAACATATAGTAGGGGAGAGAGAGGGCACCCCTGCCTTGTCCCATTATTAATACTGAACCATTCTGAGCGTAAATCACGGGCCACAATGCGTGCTGTGGGATTCGAGTATATGGCTCCTACTGCACCCATAAACTACCTCTCGAAGCCAAACTTCAATAGAGTTCTCCGCAAGAACTCCCATCCGACCCTATCGAAGGCTTTTTCGGCATCCACCGACAGGGTCAGGAGGGCGGTTCCTTCAGTCCAAGCCCAGTCCAGTAGATCCAGCACCCTACAAGTGTTATTAGAGGAATGCCTACCTATCATAAACCCTATCTGGTCCTGATGAATCAGTGATGGCAAGATTATTTTCAATCGTTCCACCAGAATTGCGGCATAAAGTTTAACGTCAACATTGACCAGAGAAATAGGACGATAGTTACACACTTCATAGGGAATTTTACCTTGCTTCAAAATTGGAGTAATATGTGCCCTTAACAGATCTGGGGAGGCAGACCCTTTGGTCGCCAATTCATTAAAGGTCTCAGTTAACAGCGGGAGTAACTGTTTTTTAAAAACCTTAAAGAAAAGATTTGTATACCCATCCGGACCAGGAGCTTTACTATTTACAAGCGTATCAATTGCTAAATTGACTTCATTTTGAGAGATACTTCTGTTAAGCCTTTCCTTCTGATCATAAGATATTTTTGATAAATTAGATTTTTTCAAGTAATTCTCCAACATGACTAAGTCAGGGGATGTATTCAAATTGTATAGTTTTGCATAAAAAGATCTGAATTTGCTGGCAATTTCATCTGGCTTATAGATATAATTAATTCCATCTCCCAGTTTGGAGATCTTTTGGTCAGCCATCTTTTTCTTTAATTTATTTGTTAACAATGAGTCAACTCAATTATTCTTGCAATAGTATTTAATATTGAGCTTATTTAAATTATGTTCTATCCTGTTCTTAATCTGTACATTTATCTTTTCTTGGCAAACCTTAATAGATAATGCTCTCTCCTCAGAATAAAATTGTTTGTTAGCTTTAGAAAAATTGTAAAATTCGATATAAAGATCGGACAAGATGTTATCTATGTTCCTTTTTTGGTGGCTTGCTAATTTAATCCAATATCCCCTGATAACTGCTTTACAGGAACACCACAGGCATTCCTTGGATAACTCCTCAGATGTATTCTCTTTAATAAAAAGATAAATTAAATTCTCTATATGTTCTATATTTGCTTTATTTTTTAACAGATAATCTGCCAATCTCCATCTCGTATTAGTTACCACCAAGTCTGCAATTACCATGTCGTGGTCTGACCAGGTATTTTCAACAATGGAAATTGAGGAGATCGCCTTTACTAGATTTACGTTACCCAAAATCATATCTATCCTGGCAGCCGAATTGTGAGGGATATACCTATGCGTGAAATTCCTTTCACTGGGGTGGGACAATCTCCAGCAGTCGTACAAATCCGCTTTCTTTATCACTCTACTTAATGACGCTACCTGTCTTTTCAGGGATTTATCTATCTGCTGGTTTTTAGCCAATTGCTTGTCCAATAAAGTGTCAAAAATACAATTAAAATCACCTGCAATCGAAACTCTACCTTTTTAACCTGTTCCACCAAACCTAAAATTTTACTCAGAGTTTTAATTGGGTCTTTATTAGGTAAATACACATTAACTAAAGTATAATCCGTCCCGTTCAGTTGGCCAACCAAAATTATTGAAACACCACATTTCTTTTTTTCTTGTAAAGTTGCAGAGTAAGTCAAGGGATATTTTTTATGGAACCATAATTTCCTAGACTCCCCAATCCAATGGGTTTCCTGAATAAACCCTACTTGTATTTTCTGATTAACAAGGGTATTATACAAATAGCCTCTTTTAACAAAAGAATTAAGGCCTTGGGCATTAATAGATAGGACTTTAACCATATCTTACTCTATTTTTCTTTTTTGGGCTCCTTGACCATATCCTCAATATGCATGACCAGTTAGACATATTACACACCCGACAAAACAACATGAAAACATTCATATCTACACAGAAGCCTGGAACACAAAAAATATTTTTAGTACTGGGAGTCCCACGGAATCCCACAGGGAGGGGTATAGAAACTCGGAGGATCTTATGGAGAAAGAAAGAAAGAAAAAAAAAAACTAGGGCTATATATTTGTTTACCTAACGCTATAACTGGGTATTAAATGTTATCACTAGTGCTGTTTCGTAAGTTATCTAAATATTGCCTTGGTGTATAATTATAATTATTTTACTAAGTTTAGGATCCTTATCCTAATTCACCTGTTATGGTGGCTTCCTTCACTGCTTGCCTCAATTCTACTCAAGTGTATAGTTTACTATCATGACTATATTACCACATTTTATGTCCCTTAACAGCACTACCGTTTTCTCTTAAGTCTGTTTTCTACCCTCGAGGAGGTCCTGGGCAGAGCCATGCACATACTGCTCACATATTTCATTATATCTTTAGGTCCATTAATTTCACTTGTATCCGCTTCTTTTTCCATATGGGTCAGTGGTTAGAGCATATTCATATGAAGGGCATTGCTAATAATATGTTTATTACAGGTTACGAAGTACTCAGGATTTTAGAACAATAGTACTCATCATGCCCCTTAAACTATTTTTGTTAGGTATGTTTTTTATAGATTATTTGGTGGGATCGAGAAGCTGGCCTTACATCTCACTCATGTACGTTACATCATCATGTCTTTAGGTGCTAGGTATCTACGATTTACTGCACAAGCTCCTACTTTTGGTTGAACGTTACTTCACTACATAGCCTGTTGGGCAGACCAGGATATCTACTTTTACATAACATACCACAATTTCTACAATATCTCATTATCCTTTCTCATGCCTCTTTGCCTTATGTTAGTGGTCCCGCGAGGCCAACACCCATCCTCATACTCGTAGGTATTACGCCCATTGGCCCAACTCATAGTTAGTCACCTTGCAGGGTGGCATAGTGAGGGCCTCACCTGTCTCTCCCATTCTATCATATGCTTTAATAGTTACCGAGAGTTCGCCACCCCGCCACAATCATTCTGTGGCCACGAAATCCCCTCGCACCAATGCATAGTTAGAGCCTCTCATGCTGCTTGGCATCTAGCAGGGCCTCACCTGTTACCAACCTTGTTTAATGGTTTTGCCACTTGGCAATAGCTAGTTAGCCAGTACGTTGGAAGAGTATACACAACTACTTCGTGCTAGTTCACATATCTCATCGACAGGAGGTCCTGTCCCTGTCCTATACTCCTACTAGTTCTAATACAACGTCTCACAGAGACTTGGCTAGGCCTACTTCTATTAGATCTTGGACTATACCTCACATCACATCAGAACTTTTGAATGGCACATGAGGTTCCAGCAACAGCTATATAAACCTAATCATCAAATACAATGAATTTTGGTTACAGGTATTCAACATTACATTTCATTCACATACATGTCAAATTCAAGAGCTCACTCTGTTCTCCTTTACGTCTTACAAATATATTCTCAACTCTGACTTTAACTAGAGGCTGTCTCGTTACGCTGACCCTTGAAGGGTCCTCTATATTCATTCAAGCATATGTTAAATAACTCATATTTCAGTACATGCTCTGCATGTTCATGAGGTCCAACAAGATATTTACTATCTGTCTACATCTCAAGTAGACTAGGATACAGATTGTGTTACTACGCACATATGGGATATATCTATTATGCCAATAGTTAGGTTAAGCCACTCCCCCCGCGTACATAGAAGCGGCTATGTCCATTCAGGGTGAATTTCACTACTAGTACAATTCAGCTTCTCACCTAAACATAGCATCACAGCATGCCTCTTTCAGTATACAGTATTGGGCCCCTTACTAAGTCATATCATTTTATATACTATGTCATTCCATTTGACTCCCATGAATTGCAGGTGTCACAACTAACTGGATCAAGGTTATGCCTGGCTTGAAGCTGTAGATAAGCATGATATTGATATACATATCTACATTTGTAAATATATAGGTTGGTATATGGTTGGTGGGGGTGTGTGCACGCAGGAATATGTATATATATATATATATATATATGTATACATGTGCTTGAGTGTATTCACACACGCTCTGGTTCATTCTAGTTCGAGCTATTGTTTTTACTGTCATGTTGGTAATATGCATTTAGTTATCCTCGGTTTCTATTTCATAACTCAAGGGTCGTTCAATTATTCCGGCTCATCTATGTCATATCTTACATATCTACATGTGCCTCGAGCAGATCTTGACATATGCCCTTAATGAAAATACTGACTTGGTCAGCTGCTATTAACTACTTTCTTGTTATAGGACCATATCCCAGGAATTGAAAACTGTGTCACTGATCGTGTATCTGGTTCTCTATTACAAGCTTTCCGCAGAGAGTCTACATTTTCACCGGTTATGGCTGAAATTTAATATTGTTAACAAACTTCTTGAGTACTTTGGTCGATTTTACTTCTTTTTGCCACCCTACTTAAAACATTTTCAACACTACTAAATAATATTTAACAATTTTCTGTCATCTTATAGTTTAGAATCATGTTGTTAGGCATTAAACATCAAATACTTCTCCTCCACCCTCTTTATTACCTATCCTCAGACATCTTGCCGTTCACGGTCCTATCTCATGGATGCGGCACCTTTCGAACCACACACAATCATGACATAAATATCACCACTTGTTTAGCTATATTTGTTCCTCAGTTCAAGAGAACTTACTTCCATATACGTCACTTCACTAGACTACATTAAGATATCTCAACACAAGATACAAGACCACTACGTATTACCCTTCAACCATACCATATTTAGCCTAATCCCCCATTACCCTACCTATAACCAATAGTGCCCAGTAATAATCCTGAATAACGACCTAACTTCTGTTCAAGGTTCCCCTGGACTACCCCTACTAGCCTTACATGACAATACTCTTACTACAAGTACATTTCAGACTTTATCTCAGGATATTACGGCATGGTCAGATAAGGTCTTAATTCAGGTAATTAAGCAGGTCACTCCTTCCACACCAGTGCTGACAACCATACCTCCAGGAATATTTTGATACATATTCATGGGACTTTGACATGAGGAAGGCCCTCTACATACTTCAGATACATACATCAGCATGTTCTTAAATATGCCAAGTCTTCCGTAACAGGTATATGTATTATATAGTAACATGCTTAATTTGTAGGCTGTATAATCCTGGATGGTATACTCTTGTTGCCCTTTTTTATTACAGGCCCACCGCATCGTCGGTTCCAGCACACTACAACCGACTTTTCATATTACTATATGTCTCATACAGACCTTTCATACCTACTTTTAATATGCTCATTACGGATTTTGATGCTCCGAACATAAATGGAAGGCTGGGCCTGTAGTTATGGGAGGGGCTTGATTTCCCTGCTTACGGATGCCAGACCGCCCTCCATTATCGTTTCAGTCTGGTGATTTACCCCTCCCACCACTCCCTTTTCTTATATCTTTATATAGGGTGGCCCCTCTTTTTTTACAAGCCCACCGCATCATCAGTTGCGGCACACCACAGCTGACTTTTCATATTACTATATGTCTCATATAGGGACCTTACATACCTACTTATAATATGCTCATTACGGCTTTTGACGCTACGACAAAAAAATAAAATAAAAAATAAATATATATATATATTTACATAAATCTATATGTAGAGCATAGAACTGAGTGCATATGGGATACTGAGTAACACACTCAGTGGTGACAGAAACCACACCAATCTTATCTTCATCCCATGTAACTCTTCCTTTAATTCCTCCTTCGCACTGCCCTCTGGAACATACGCTGTCTGTGCAACATCATTAAATAAACTTCTATCCATTACTTATTCATCTCACATTCCCTAAACTTGCTTGCCCTAACTGGAGCATGGCTCTCTCCCTCTGATACTGCTACCCATACATAACTATCCTTTGGTGGTCTTTATTTTACCC